TAAAAAGGCTCTCTGCTAGAAGGATGCTCTCTTCTGTTGCCACGAATATCCTGGAGACTCTCTTCTTGTTTTGGAGCATGAGGTCATTTCCCTTTGAAGGCTGAGGGACGACCAGATGTCTCTGTTTGAAAATTGGGGGGAGCTCCACCCTTTCTTCTTGAGTTGGGGGGAGCTCCACCCTTTCTTCTTGAGTGTATGCTCTCTTCCATTTTTAAAACGGCGACGGAAATAATCAGGATCCCCTCCCCATATCAGGAAAGAAAGGAGGTCTCTTCTTGCCGAAAGGTAAACGGTGCCCTCTTCTTTCTCATGAAATTGGAGCGGCCTGTTTGCTTTGTTGAGATGGCGCTTTCTTTTGTCCCATTAGTTTGGAGGAAGCTCTCAGTCTCTTCTTGTCGAGGATGAGGCAGAGGATTTGTCTTTTTGAAAGCTAATTCAGAGCATGGGGTAGAGGGCTGCTCATGTCTTGTTGAAGGATGAGGGGAGGATCAGACTCTTCTTCTGAAGATTGAGCGAGCTCTGTCCTCACTTCTTGAAAGCTATCCCTCTTCTATCCCTTGAAGAGGAAGAGGGGACGACAAGGAGCTCCTCTCTCTTCTTGTCGACTAAGAGGCAGCCGCAGTTCTTTTTGAAACTGGAGATGCGTTGAGCCTTGTCTTCTTCGACTAGAAGCGAGCTCCCTTCAATTCTCTTCAGAGGAGATGGAGACCTACCAAGAGAGGGAGGAGCTCGCTGCTCGAAATCAGCTGAATGACTTGGAGGGACTCTCTCCGTGGTTTCGTTGAGGGGTGGGGGCATCTCCGCCCTTTCTTCTTGAGCGTATGCCCTTTTCCATCTTTTGAAAAGGTAAGGGAAGTAATCAGGATCTCTTTCCACTGCCAAGAGAGAAAGGAGGTTTCTTCTTCTTGTGCGTATGCTGTTCTCCATCTTTTGAAAAGGTAAAAGAAATGCTCAAGATCCAACCCCTTATGAAGAGAGAAAGGAGTTATCTTCTTTCCGACCGATGGGTAAACGGAGACCTTTGAATTCTCGTGAACTTGGAGGGGCCTGTCTGCTGGGCTGAGATGAAGCTCTCTTGCGTCTCATTACATGGGAGGAAGCACTCAGTGATTTCTTGTGGAGGATGAGGTAGAAAATCTTTCTTTTTGGAAGCTAGGGGAGCTCTGTCCTTTCTTGCTAGGAGCGAGGTCTCTTCAATCTTCTTAAGACGAAAAGGCGACATACCAAGAGGTAAAAAGGCTCTCTGCTAGAAGGATGCTCTCTTCTGTTGCCACAAATCACCTGGAGACTCTCTTCTTGTTTTGGGGCTTGAGGTCTTTTCCTTTTAAATGCTGAGGGATGACCAGATGTCTCTACTTGAAAATTGGGGGAGCTCCACCCTTTCTTCTTGAGCGTCCTCCCCTTGTCAAGAAAGAAAGGAGGTCTCTTCTTGCCGAGGGGTAAACGGAGCCCTCTTCTTTCTCGTGAAGTTGGAGCGGCCTGTTTGCTTTGTTGAGATGGCGCTTTCTTCTGCCGCCTTAGATTGCTCTCAATCTCTTCTTGTCGAGGATGAGTTTTTGGAGTAGAGGGCTGCTCATGTCTTATTGAAGGCTAAGGGAGGATCAGACTCTTCTTTTGAAGATTGAGAAGCTCAGTCCTCACTTCTTGAAAGCTATCTCTCTTCTATCCCTTGAGGAGGAAGAGGGGACGACAAGGGGCTCCTCTCTCTTCTTGTCGACTGAGAGGCAGCCGGAGTTCTTTTTTTCTCGTGACGTTGGAAGGGTTCTCTGCTCCTTTGAGATGCTGCCGTAGAGGATGTGCCAAGGGATCTCTTCCTTACCCTTTTGGAGAAAAGAAGCTCATTTCTTGCGGATGACGAAGCAGCGAGCTCCCTTCATTTTATCGTCAGAGGAGATGATGGGAGGAAGCTCTCAGTGATTTCTTGTGGAGGATGAGGCAGACAATCTTTCTTTTTGGAAGCTAGGGGAGCTCTGTCCTTTCTTGCTAGGAGCGAGGTCTCTTCAATCTCCTTAAGACGAAAAGGCGACATACCAAGAGGTAAGAAGGATGCTCTCTTTTGTTGCCACGAATATCCTGGGAACTCTCTTCTTGTTTTGGAGCATGAGGTCTTTTCCTTTTAAATGCTGAGGGATGAAAAGATGTCTCTACTTGAAAATTGGGGGAGCTCCACCCTTTCTTCTTGAGTGTCCTCCCCTTTTCAAGAAAGAAAGGAGGTCTCTTCTTGCCGAGGGGTAAACGGAGCCCTCTTCTTTCTCGTGAAGTTGGAGCGGCCTGTTTGCTTTGTTGAGAGGGCGCTTTCTTTTGTCCCATTAGTTTGGAGGAAGCTCTCAGTCTCTTCTTGCCGAGGATGAGGCAGAGGATTTTTTTGGAAGCTAATTCAGAGGATGGGGTAGAGGGCTGCTCATGTCTTATTGAAGGCTAAGGGGAGGATCAGACTCTTCTTTTGAAGATTGAGAAGCTCAGTCCTCACTTCTTGAAAGCTATCTCTCTTCTATCCCTTGAGGAGGAAGAGGGGACGACAAGCAGCTCCTCTCTCTTCTTGTCGACTGAGAGGCAGCCGGAGTTCTTTTTTTCTCGTGACGTTGGAAGGGTTCTCTGCTCCGCGGTAGAGGATGTGCCAAGGGATTTCCTTACCTTTTTGGGGAAAAGAAGCTCATTTCTTGCGGATGACGAAGCAGCGAGCTCCCTTCATTTATCGTCAGAGGAGATGATGGGAGGAAGCTCTCAGTGATTTCTTGTGGAGGATGAGGTAGACAATCTTTCTTTTTGGAAGCTAGGGGAGCTCTGTCCTTTCTTGCTAGGAGCGAGGTGTCTTCAATCTCCTTAAGACGAAGAGGCGACATACCAAGAGGTAAGAAGGATGCTCTCTTTTGTTGCCACGAATATCCTGGGGACTCTCTTCTTGTTTTTGAGCATGAGGTCTTTTCCTTTTAAATGCTGAGGGATGACCAGATGTCTCTACTTGAAAATTGGGGGAGCTCCACCCTTTCTTCTTGAGTGTCCTCCCCTTTTCAAGAAAGAAAGGAGGCCTCTTCTTGCCGAGGGGTAAACGGAGCCCTCTTCTTTCTCGTGAAGTTGGAGCGGCCTGTTTGCTTTGTTGAGATGGCGCTTTCTTTTGTCCCATTAGTGTGGAGGAAGCTCTCAGTCTCTTCTTGTCGAGGATGAGGCAAAGGATTTTTTTGGAAGCTAATTCAGAGGATGGGGTAGAGGGCTGCTCATGTCTTATTGAAGGCTAAGGGGAGGATCAGACTCTTCTTTTGAAGATTGAGACAGCTCAGTCCTCACTTCTTGAAAGCTATCTCTCTTCTCTCCCTTGAGGAGGAAGAGGGGACGACAAGGAGCTCCTCTCTCTTCTTGTCGACTGAGAGGCAGCCGGAGTTCTTTTTTTCCCGTGAAGTTGGAAGGGTTCTCTGCTCATTTGAAATGCTGCGGTAGAGGATGTGCCAAGGGATCTCTTCCTTACCCTTTTGGGGAAAAGAAGCTCATTTCTTGCGGATGACGAAGCAGCGAGCTCCCTTCATTTATCGTCAGAGGCGATGGAGACTTACCAAGAGGTAGAGGAGCTCGCTGCTAGAAATCAGCTGAATGACTTGGAGAGACTTTCTCCGTGTTTTCGTTGAGGGTTGGGGGAATCTCCACCCTTTCTTGAGCCGTCTGTCTACATTCCAAGGAGTCGTGGACATTCTGATTGGTTAAACATTACATTACATTCACACGAACTTTTGGCGCAAGTGGCCGCCGCTTGTATGTCGCAGTGTAATACGCAGCTAGGCACCACGAGAGCGCAGACATTTTCAACGATCAATTATGCACGCATGGAGTCTGTGCCTACGTCACCCGTGTCATGGCGTGGTCTGTGGTGATGAGAATAAGCACTACTTGAATGCAAAAACACAGCCATCCAGCTGCCAAATAGACCCTATTTAAGCCGGCCACGGGGGGGGGGTACCCTATTACTAAACCGACACCCACATTAACCATATATTTTCTACCCTAGTAACCTACTATTTAGGTAACTGGAGCCCTAGGGTTTGGCAGACCAAGTCCGACGCACGGCTTCAGAGCGGCAAAGCTATTGGCATCACGCAGCAGACACTTCCGATGCTTTTTCTCGATCGCTCATCCTGCTTCACATCTCAGGTCCACATCCTGGACACCATCCTGACATACAACTGGCGACTCCCCGAGCTACAAGCTGCTAGATACACAACCACCTCTACCACTACCGCCACCAGGCCACTGCTACACGACTCAAGTACGCAACTCGCCTAAAACCGCTTGTACTACTACTCGCTACCCTACCTGCTATATGGGCTACTCCTAAGCTATATACACTACTCGACTACTACTACTACTATCGCTTACTACTACTACTACTACTACTACTACTACTACTACTACTACTACTACTACTACTACTACTACTATACTACTAATACTACTACTACTACTACTACTACTACTACTACTACTACTACTACTACTACTACTACTACTACTACTACTACTACTACTACTACTACTACTACTACTACTCCTACTGCTACTGCTACTGCTACTGCTACTGCTACTTCTACTGCTCCTGCTCCTGCTCCTGCTGCTGCTGCTGCTGCTGCTGCTGCTGCTGCTGCTGCTGCTGCTGCTACTGCTACTGCTACTGCTACTGCTACTGCTACTGCTACTGCTACTGCTACTGCTGCCCGCCAGCACGCGCATGTCAAGAGTTGGTGGGCATGTTTGGGCACTGAGGTACATGCACACAAGCATACTATCTTTCCATGTGTGTTCGTGTATACTGGTGGCGATCGGTCTGGAAGGCTTCGGATTTAGATGTTATTTAATCTCGTATCGTAGAAGTTCACGAGCTCAGAAGGGAAGGGGCGGCAAATTTCACGGCGCGCACGCTCCGAACCTTCGCGCCCCTTAGGGAAGCAAAGGGAAGTGATGCTCAGTGAACTCTGTAATTAGCGAGGAAGCGGAGATAGCATCAACAAACTTGTCTATCTTCGACAATGTGCACAGATTGAGTGGTGTCGATGTGCCTGTGGTGCAGCTGGTACAGCAGCATCCGCGAATGCTGGCGAATGCAGCTGCTCCTGACATTGGAATCAGTCTAGAGACACAGCGATGGGCGAACTCGGGTGCGCAAAAGACAGTACTTGTACGAAGCGAGAACAGGACCGGACTCCGTGACCTCATCTCAGGCGCAGACTGTTTCATGAGCCTTGTGGATGACAAGCGGAGGCACACCCAGCGGCTTGTGGGAGCCCTCTGCAAGGGCAAGGATGGCAAGAATCAGTGCTGCCTGTGACAAACGGCACATGGGTCGCAAACAGGCCTGTGACTTTGCCCGGGACGGCACAGAGGGTACTGCAGCGAAGTAGCAGTGGCCAAGCACAAACTGTTATCACTTCTGCCTTCCTGCTACGACCTGTCCGTCAGCATGTCAGTCCTTTGCATGAATTCAACTACCGTACGGTTCTGTCCTTGACTCGACCCGTCGAATTGGGAGTCGAACTGCAGTTCCTGAGACGAAACAAAGGTTGTGGGTTCTTTGCATCTGCAGCACAGTAGAGGTGGCTGGGAACCGTAGTAAGATCGAGCAGGACGTGTGTAACACTCCATGTCCAAATGCCGCAGAATCGTACTGCCCAGTGTCGCACAGCTTGAGCAGCCCTGCTTCAAGCTTTCGCAGTGACACCTGCGCGCAGTCGAAAGCCCTCCTGAGCCTGTACTTGGCACAGAAATGCATGACCCATTCATGTTACCCAGACGACTAACTTATATCAACATTGATCTTTCGCTGTGGCACGGTCTCTCGAGTCCCAACCTCCACGTGGGCCATGAAGGCACCGATGGTCTTGGACAGCCATTGATGATCATGCTGCATCTTCGCCTGCATCCAAGCAGCTTCTCTAACAGATGTGCACGGGCCCGCAAACGGTTTTCAACTAGAGTTGCTGAATCGCTTTGGAGCCCCGCCCCAACCTCACCGAAGATAGTTTGGATTGGCAGTGTGAACAACTGACCAGAATGAGAACAGTGAGCAAGCACCGCACCATAAAGTCAAGCATAATCAGTTCAGGGCACCAGGTCGAGTGCTCTTGCAGGGCCCCGCAGTCGGAGGCCTCAATGAATCGGCAGGGAGGGCAAAGTCGGAGGCCTGGGGCCTTCAAGCAGTCCTGATCGCTGGTTCTTTACATTTACAGTGCATGCCATAGACTGAGCCAGGCAACATCCCAACAGGAACCTCAGATCTTCAAAGAGCAAGAGATGGGCAAGACCATCCACATTTGCTCCAGGAGATGGAACAATAAGGCCCTCATGGGCTTGCACACCAAGCAGCTCCTCAATCTCTATGGCAGCGCCACCATCAGTGTCAAGCCTACCAAGGCTTGAGCACTGTGAGTCGGTTAACATAAGTTGCACTGTCTGCAGTCCAGGCACAACTTGAAGAAGGTCCACCTTGGTCAATGTGTTTGCACGCACCTCTTTCGGCTTTATATCGCCGAAGCTTAACCGTCACAGCTGAGCTCAGGCAGACGCGCGTCAGACACGTCCAACTCCAAGGCCTCGAAGTAGGTCTGGACCTCGGTCTGCACGACTCGGTCTTTTTGAGATTTGAATCTCACACACAGAGGAGTCCTGGTAAAAAACTACACAAAATGGGAAACCTTTTTAGAGCGGTCAATGTGCCGACTTCTTGTGCATGTTCTCCTCCAACTCCACCAAGCTGATGTAACCCGACTCATCGGCATCCAGATTGGAGAAGAGGGATCTTACCTTCCGTATGTGAGCCTGGGCACTCGACAGCCGTGTGACATAAAGGAGACTGCGGAACCTATTTCACTGGGCTTCGGGGCGAGCGGACATTGGTTCTGAGATGTTCGGTAACCTGTTGGTGCCCACAATAATTAGCGCGCTTTTTGCATAACAGCAGCATCGCAATGGGTACTGCCCCAAGACATCTTCGTTTCAACACAATGTTCTGTTTAGATTGCACATCTTGTCGGCTGAAGCATCAGCTTTCTACGTCAAAATTATGTCCGGGACCCGAACGCACGAACTCTTTATTCGAATGCGACATCTTCATGTACATATACGAGCTGACATCCGCATCCCGATTGATGTCGTTCAACTGACGCATTAAGATGAATGTCCTGCAACCGAGATGCTTCCTTGTTGTGAATGATGTTCTGCATGATCATCTCCTGCGCCAATGACACAAACTCAGGTCTGATGTACACTGCACCCCGAGTACGGTCATGCAGCTTGAAATGAAAAATTCTGAGTTCAAGGCATGGTCGCTTTGGGCGCTCTCTATAGCACTTTGGCAAAAAACGCCTGTCACCTGGACAAAACGGCGAGTCAAAACATGCAAGCTTCGACTATTAAAGCAGCGCATCCGATCATGCGAGTAGCACGCTCACATGCAATGACATGGACATGCAATATAGTTTTGCACAAACTTGTTCACACACCTTGCTGCAGATACCTGAGCACCCGGCCACATTTAGCACAGCGAAATAACAAAAACTTATATAGAACAGGAAGAGGAAAGCCTCGGCTCAGCAGGATTATGTCCATTCATGCACTGGCCCCAACTACATTTGCAGGACGGAACTACTTGGGGGCAACATGAACGCTGCTAGACATCTTATTTTCCATGCTACAGTTGTCGCACATTGCCATCCGATGTTTCCAGGATGCCAAGTTGCGCATAATGAAAACCAGTGCTTGGAAAGCTTTTAGACTTGCTGACGAGTCGAACACACGTGATGCAATGTTTCTGGGCCTGAACATGACAAGCACGGACGGAAAAACATATATCCTTTTGGCTAGTATCATGCTACGCATGGCACCCCAAGCAAACGTTGAAGCTTCGGAAAATCCAAAAAATCCATGACTCCCGGGCATTGGGACTGATTGCAAATGTGTCATCTTACACCGCACAACACATGCTCGAGATTGCCCATGAACTACCGGCTGGCTATTGGTGCTACATGAGCGCTGGGCAGCCAACAGAAGACTCGTGCATCACATGAGACGCTTTGATGCCATAGCGACGTAACAGCGGCCAAACTTGAGCCCATTTCTAAACCGTTGGCATCGTTTTTTAAGTATGTCTGGTCAGGTCCATGCCTGTTACAAGCGATCGCCGTCTTGCTTTCCACAGGCGGACTTGCTGCCCGATTTCAACACAACACTTCGCCGATGTGGTCCGAACGCTTGCAAGTGGTTCTGCGTAACTTTTGTCAACACCCCATGATGCAAGTGCACTTTGGGATAACACAGCCCGCCCTGGCACGGCCTGTTCCGGGAAAGCCGCCTTGCAGTTCCCGGTTGTCAAACTGACACATAAGCTCCGGGATGCCATAGGCATCTCCCCAAGCTCTAGCGATGGCGTGCGTCTGACGCTCAACGGCTTCACACTTGTGATCCAAAACGGCAGGAAGCCGAAATCAGAATAGTTTTACACTTCTCTGCTGCTTGGATCGGTGGGATCTGGCAGAAACAGAACTGAGAAAGTCTTGCCCGGTGCTAAAATCTTCGCCATTTCGCAATGGACACATTGCCGCCGCGAATGCCTCGTTCACTTGTGCCAATCGCTTGGCCTGAAAGACAGCTATCACTGCATGCAGTACTCGACGTATGCATGCTTGCACCGCTAACTCCTGTGGCGGCTTTGCTTGCGCCTGCTCCTCCGCATAGCCTTCAGCTACTCGACATTCGGCCCTTGCAAGGTATCAATGAACCACGTGGTCACCGCTGCCAACACTGGCCATGGCCCACAGTCCCAAAATGTCCAAAGAAAAGCTCTTGAAGGAGCCACTGGCTTCAGCCAGGGTCATGTTTGTGCCTACGCACGTCAAAGGTCGCCGGCCCGAACGAGACTTCGCAGGACCTATCTGAAAAGGCGCCGTTTGGTCGCCGTGCTTGAACCTGCGTCCGACAAATACACACACTGGCGGCCGGTTAACCGACCCATGGCGAATAAAACTCGCGATCTTCGGCGTGAACATATAAGCCACAAACACAGCATGCCTGTGCAGTGCATGTGCCGATGCTTGGAACGACTTCATCAGCCCAACAGCCATAATACGTGTGGACAGTGGAAATGCTTCAGATGGCCGTACACATACCAGGAAGTGCCCACGCTTGTCCATCAGATTTCATCAGCAGCCGTGGTGTTCCACAGGAATTCGAAGCACAGCGCGAAATTGAAAGTATTTTCGCGGGTGGTTGGAGCGAGCTCCTAGCTTGAATTGTGCAAACGGGGCACAAGAATCCAATGATCCTGACACATCTGCTGTGCTGCGTCGGTGGACTCCTGTGTATTGTGACACATGCAGATGTGCTACGGCATCAGAACCAACATGAAATCGAACCGCTCTACGGAAAGTCCTGCCTTAAAGTTTCAAGCAGTGAGTCCTGCAGGGACCACGTCCAGCAGTCCCAGCTTCCACTGAAGGTGGCATGGTTTAGTTTCGCCTACGCTTCTCTTTCGAAGCCAGCTGCTCTTATCTTGTGACGGATGGAGGGCTGCTTCTTTTTTTGAGTATTGCATGATCGTACGTCGTACGTTGTGTTTATCGTTCCCGCTTATGCACCTCGCCTGGCAATTGTCTCTTACCTCGCCTTCTTCTCTGGAAATCTTTTCTGCAGATGCTCTTTCATTGTCTACCGCGCCCTTTCCTTCTACAGCTCTGCCATGCCTGATGTCGTTGATTTGCTGTCTCTCGTCCTGAATAGGACCAAAAAACAAAACTTGAACTACCGCAAACTAAGCTTTTCGACATAAGACTGACAGCAGAAAGATGTCATTCGTTTGCACGACTTTGCCGCTTTGCTATAAAGCCGAGCTGATTTCTGCTATCGGTTTGACAATAGCTGTACCATCGGACTCACATTACCATCAATTTCGCGGAACCTATTGCAGACAAACTACCTTGCAGCTAGAATACCTACATTCCAAGCAGTGTTCCTGCAGCCAAGGGACACACCACTCCGAGACAACACTCATCGGTCTCAATGCATTCTCCCAACTGACGCCGCCGCATATTGCCCTCGGACGGTTGCTGAAGCTATGTGGTGCTTGCTTGGGATCAACGTCTGCAATGTCCATTAACTGCCATGATCAGCAAAATGCGCCACAACATGATGCTTAGCCGAAGGAGCATAAACAACGTGAGCATGGAGGCAGGGAGATCTTTCCAGTACTCATTGATGGCAACCAGGATCGGATCCGAGTCGTCCAAAGCACCTCGGAGCCAAGCGCAACCCTTTCTCCCGCACATCGCAAACGGCCTAGCGGTAGTCGAGCGGCCGTCAAGAGCTAGCTTGCGTGCTTGCCCACAAAATCCCAACCAAAGACATCATATTCCGACGACGAAGCTTTTCAGGGCCGGTGACATGGACTGAACTTTTAGCCGTCTGAAAATGCACATGCCGGGTGTATGCAGAGACAAACAGGGAAATACATAAATGTGTTCAAAGATGTACATCCATATATCCGTATATCCATATATACATATGTACGTATATATACATATATGTACATGTGTGTTCATAAACATATATACATCTACATGTACATGTACATATATGACATATGTATGTATGCATGTATGTCTGTATGTATGTGTATGGGGGTTATACATGCGTGTGTATGAGTATGTATGCGTAATGGCAGGCTCATGTGTATGTGTGCTTGCATGTGTATGGCTCTGTGTCTGTGTCTGGGTATGTGTCTGTCTGTGCTTGTGTCTGTATGTGTATGTGAATGTGTACAATTACAAACACAAACGCACATGCAATGGCTTGACAGTGTACCTGGAGCCTCCGAACAACTGGACACAGTATTTAGGAGTTTCGACCGTCAAAAGGAACGATGTCATTCCGCTCAGAAGCCGTCGCCAAGGTGATAATCCATGAGGTAGAGGGTTGATGCTTGCGTGAAGACAATGCCAAACCTTGCACAAACAAGCAGTCGTGGCAGTGCATTACGCAGGCACGTGAAGCCTTCGGTCGCGAAGCACAACGAATGAATCTAAGCAAGAACTGCCAGTGTTGCAATCATGTGGTCGAGGAGCCCATAGATGATCAACGACAGTAGCACCAATGCCCAAACCAGAGATTTGAGCGTAAAGACGATCGAACTCACCAATGTCCGCAGCGCCTTGATGAAGCCTTAGCAAGAGACGTAGCTCTCCTGTCTTTCTTTCTTTGTCTCCTTCTTTCATCTTCTTTCCGTGCAAGGTGCCCTTCAAAGCAACCAGCATTGTACAGTGGGGTTTGCAGCAGGGTTGTACTGACAGGGGGAAAGGCTCTTGCTTAATTCAAACCTTGGGACTTTTAGGGATATGGACCCACGAGTGCAAGGAAGAAAGATTTATGTCACGTACATGTTCCATTAGGAAAAGTCTGTCTGTTGGGCGAAACTTGCTGATTCGAGCCGGGTTTTTGTTAGACAAGGGTTTCTGTCAGATACTGTTTCCTGTTGGACAAGAGGTTCTGTGATTCAAGGAGATTTGTTGAACGAAGGGTTCTGTTTGACAAGGGATTCTGTTGGACAACCTTGATAAGGAGTTCTGAAATTGAAATGCTTTTAAAACTTAAAAATGAACTGGGCGAGTTGAGGTAGCAAAGCCAAACTTGATGCCTGCACCCGGCGGGCATGTCAGTGCAGCATCGATTAAGAAGTACTGCAATGTACAGTAGACCCTGCCTCTGCAAGCGTACAAGGAAGCTTGTCAGCACCAGTTGCCTTTTACATGAGCGCGCAAGCCCATGTTCCATCCCAATCAAAACTTGGGGTTTGGGCTTTTGGGCTTGTGGTCTTGCATCTAGGCAATCTTCTTCTCGAGCGCAGCTGAAATCTGGTTTCACGAACCTATGATGCTGTGCCCTTGCCATTTGCACCATGAAAACTGTGTCAGAGACGATGTTGGGTACTGCAAGGTCGGATTGGAGGGAGAAGTTGCAAAGGCTCGAGATGTAGCCAGACCCATGCAGACAGGATGCGGGTGATTCGCGCGATGCGCGTCAATCGAACCAGTCTTGTGATTCTGATGATCCGCAGCACACGCATGTTCGTCAACGTAGACACCCCGGGCGGAGTGTCCTGCGTGCACTGAAACGGCCAAAGTTTCCATGCTTACCATGCCTCGGAGCCGTAGAAGGAATCACAACAAGTGCGTACATCTTGCAGCACTTCATCATGTACTTTAGCTTACTGATCAGAATGTCCTTATACAAGAGAATCCAAAACTCACGAGTTTTTGATGCTGCTCGCTCCCAAGTGCCTGGTTGAGGATGCTCAGAGACATCTCAGGGGGTCAGAGCAGCTCCGTGAATCACTCACTTGCTGGGCTGACTTGCACGGGTTTATTGCCAAAACACAGTGTGGCTGACGACTCTGCTGACGGCATGACCCTTCAATCCCACCTGCACGATAATTTCTACGAAAGCGCTGCCGACAATGATAAGATCCATGATGTTCCAAGCCAGGTTCTTGTCTAGGAAGAACTGCTTGCCTCAACGAGAAGACGAAGCAGCCCGCTACTGCTGTTGGCCTCGAGGTCTGGGGTCTGAGGGTGCTGCCATAAGCGGCCATTCTCAGGAAAAGCTCCACCTCAGAAAAGGTGGTTCCGATTCGGACATACAGTAGAACAGCTAGGTAGGCCAATGCTCACGATGCAAGCATGGGCACCGAAAACAGCGCTGTGAAGATGTAGCCAATGACCTGATGGCCAACATTGCGCTATCGGCGAGAAGCGAAGTTACAACGGACCTGCGAAGCTGTTCACGCTTTCACATGTCTGGCTCTTGGCACAAGCTTCTGGGTCAGCATGAGGTGGGGCTAAGAATGGGAGTGCTCATGACTAAGCAAAGCGGACTCTCGATGACAGCGAATCGCAAGGAAAATCAAACGCATTGCTGTTTCTCGGACTTGAGGACGCTCTGTTTCTCTGCGCACTAAGGCGAACACCTCCATCTCGATCGCGGAGTGACCTGATACAAAGCTTGTGATGCCAGTGGACAGGCAGGAACGTTGCAAGCCTTCCCCAACCGTCCAAACCCTCCTCCTACCCTTCGGGGTTCACTGCAATGAGTAGGAACCAGGTCTTCGACTGCACTTGTTTTCTTGTGTCCTTCGAAAGAAGGCGCAGGCTACCGCTGGGCTTCTGAATTTAGCAACTTCACCATTCCACACGGCTGATCACACTGCTTCAGGTCTCATGCTGTAGTACTCTTCGGATGTAATTTGACCTTGGACACTCCCGCTCCAGCTCCCCGAGGTACCGTGGATGTGCGTCAGTGGAACATAGTGAAACCAGGGCACTTCCGGGACTGGACATCAATGTTAAACGATGTGTGGCGTACTCGCTTGTCTTCATCAGCCATAATGGCCATTCCTTCTGCCAATGTTGCACATCAAGCTCCCTACGATTCACTTCCGAAGGAATTCAGAGCATGAAGATAAGGGCTCCCATAAGAGCTTCAGGCTGTGCCAGCCATGTCATGTGTGCGTAAGAAGATGAAAAGACCGAAGCAAAATGGCAACACGAGTGAGACTACGCGGAATAGCTGCGGCATGCTGGAACAGAGACGAAAAGATGTCGTTCCTCGGAACGTCTGCCATAGGCGGTTTGTGCGGCTGCAGCTAAAGTCCGCACCTGGGTTGTGTGCGAACATCTGCACATCGACGCCCAGCTCCACCGCATTCGCCACGATGCAGACCGAGAAAAAGACTTCGAAGGGCCTCGGTGTCTGACTTGCTGCCTATCAGTTCACATGAAGGGTTGCTTTCCAACGAGATGCGCTGCTGCATCAGGGTTTCCCGAGCCTTTCCTATGTCCTATGAGTCCTGTGCCATCTCAGCCAAGAGTCATCGACTGAACCACGCGCTGCATCTTTTCTCTCCAGCTCATCTCTTCCCAGTTTAGAGGAGAGGCATTCCGGATACTCCGCCGGGTTTGCCTCAGAGTTGACTTGATGCCAATCTCGGCTTCCAGGGTAACTCTGGACTGTGCCGCAAGCGAAACTTGACTGCACTACAGTGGACGGGGCCAGAAGCCCAGGGGGGTGCATCGTCTCGTCTACTTGTCTGATCAAGAGTTGGTGCCCCGGCGAAGGACAGATATCGGAGTCATTGGCCTCGTCCTCGGGCGCCCCTGAAGGAGGCTTCGGTTGGCCAAGGCTTTAGGTCAGATTTGCAGGACTTGAGCACCAAGAACAGGGGGCTTCGGGGCTGAAATTGGTATCAGTATATGTAGGAACAAGTATATAGGAACAATACAGGAATGATTGGAATGCCGGGTGGTCCATATTTTTGGGTCGGAGTGCGCCAAAAACGGACAGGAAACCAAACGCCCTCAGCTTCCAAACATATAGACTCGTCTCGGGCTTTAGGCTGTGGGGCTTTGGGTTTAGAGACTTAGGCTCCAAGATCTGGGGCTTGGGGTATGAGAACTCTGCAGAAAATATCAATCCGAGCAGAAGCAGGCTGCCGTTTGCCGAAGGCGAGCTACGGCCTTCAAAGTAGATGGGAGGAGTGCAACAGTACTGCTATCTTCCTGTCACCAAATACGAAATCCAAAGACAAATAGATAGCTAGGCAGACAGACGGATAGGTAGATACATCTATCTGTCTATCGTCTATGAAAGATGGATAGACAGATAGATGGCTAGCTGGGTTTCCTGCTCGCTACCTAGATACATCTATCTGTCTATCATCTATGAAAGATGGATAGACAGATGCATGGCTAGCAAGCTGGCCGGCTGGCTGGCTAGCTTGCCGGCAGGCAGGCATCAGGTATGTGGATAGGTAGTGGGTAGGTAGGTCGGTAGATATTGTGTGTACATAGGTACTTAGACACGTAGATAGGTAGAACGAGAGATAGATGGATAGACGGATAGACGGATAGACAGACAGATGGGCACGTAAAGAGAAAGACAGATAGACCGACAGACCCACAGACATACAGCCAGCCAGCCAGGCAGCCAGGCAGACAAACAGACGAACAAATAGATAGACAGGTAAACCCATAGTTTGATACATGTGTGTATTTGCATGTGTACATGTAAACATAGACATGTGTAAATGTATGAATATATATATATATATATATATATATATTATAACATATGTATACATAACATTTGTAACTATATACCATATCGGTACACCATTTGTTATCGCCGCTAGAAGACACATGGTTGATACTGCCCGATACAGAAGTACTCCTAATGAGCAAACAAAACACTGCTCGCAGCATGTTCATACACCTTTTGGTTCTGAAACCTCTTGCACATCGTTTAACATGTTCCGGAGCAGCAGTACTACCATTGCTACTGCTGCGATTTCCATTTCTCAAAAGCCGTGTGTCAAACGCTTGTTTATATTCTCCGAGCTAGTACTGCTGACTTACAGTTATGAATGCTAACTAACTCTCCTCATGCTCGCAATATCGCTCGTACGACTTTAATATACACCGCCACGAGCAGTACTTCCTGATGACTACCATGACTACCACTTGCATTCACAGCATCAAGGGTGAAGCCCGGAGTAAAGGCATTGGTATAAGTAAGTAACATACCGGCAACAGATGATGACGCAATGCGCATTGGCAACAGCACAGTTTCTAGGTTCAACACTCTCCAAACCCACCAAAGCCTGAATTTCCCGAGTGAGATCGACCCATCTGCGAGGCTTGCTTTCCCATCTGCCACATAAATCCATCATAAATCCATTAAGATGGCCGCTCGGCAGCCTTCGAGGTCGATTTCCAGCGTCCCTTCCCGTGCTGAAGCAGCACGCTTCATGGCCTCCTCCTGCGCAAAATGATCCCCTCGCTGGCAGAACTGGGAGCATCCTCTACCCGATCTGATGCGCTCCTTCTCACTTTGCGTGCGGAAAAGCCTTGGCTTGGATGCACCTTAATGCAGCAGCATGTTGCGGAAGGGCTCACATGTAGCGAATCACGGAAGACTGCACTTGTTCCCTGGGCCCTCACATCGTTGTACAGTGCGAAACTCCATGACCACGTGTTACTCAGATTGATGCCAACTCTGTCAAGCTGTTGCTGCACGTCGATCATCGCCGCTTCCTTGCCAGCACTGGATGCGAACCGCTTCACATGTCCCCATCGAGAATCGAGAGTGCAGGTAAGGCAGACAATGCCCATGATTCAAACCGCAGGTGTGTTATGCATTCGTGAAAAACCTGCAGCAGCCCTTTGAGCGGACGTCTGTCACCTGGCTTCCTCGATTTCTTGAGTTTCGTCTGGAAGAAATGTGCAGAAATATTATGAGCTACGAAGTCTCGTTTCCAGCACAACACAGTCCGGCCAAGGAGGACCCACCCGTGTCCTTGCGAATCCCGCTGTCTCGACTTACCTTCAAGGCATGAGTCTCGGAACATGCCACGGATGACCGCTGCCTCGCAACCGCAGCCCCATGAGATCTGCAAGCGAATGCAAACCTCCAGCCCTTAAGCTGCACACAAACTGCTTTCGACTGACAGGTTGGTAACTTTCAATGCAACATGGAAGGTCTCTTTTGCAGGATTGCGTGGTCGCGGGGACAGCCTTCATTTTTAATCTACAGTACATCGACATCACTGCCGCCGTCTCTTCATGATCTCGCTCAGTCAATCAAACCACCTCTTCATATATGCACTCGTAATCTGTTGGAGCACTGGGTTCTCGCAGGTGAGGCTGATTCAGCTGCGCTCTTTGGCGCAAGCTGCAGCTGTCATTGTCTCTCCGGGTCTTGACCCAGGGCCGCTGCACGACGGGTCAGGGACGCCATCTCCGCTTCCATCTCCAGCCGCTCGTCCTCCATCTCCAGCTCCAGCTCTGCCAAGGCTGCATTGGCTGCTTCTTCACGCTGTCGCGCAGCTTTCAGCCGAGCTCGCATGTTTGCTAGCTCGTCATTCATCTCTGCGAACTCCTCCATAGTCATGGAGCGCTGCACCGACGGAAAAGCTGTTGCGATTGCCTTGGACACATCCCTCAGGCAGCCATTGAAAGTTTCGGCAAAGGGAAACCAGTCGGGAACGACCCATTCTGTGGGGCCGGATGCCCGGCGCTGGCTACCGGAAGGCAGCTGCATGCTGCGCAGGTGCCCTGCGACGAAGTCGATGCCATCAGGTGTCCTCGTCCTGCATGTGCTCAGCCAGAGGATGGCCACCGCAAGGAGACCGGCTCCGGCCGCATGGCGCCTGCCGACGTGGGATGCGCGCTGCATCACTATGGACGAGGGGGAACTCAAATGACGGCAACAGTGCGGATGAAATAGTCGAGCCGGCTACTTGTACCCTGTCTGCTGAGTGCTACAGAGTATCCCGTTGTGCCAGACTCTCAGGATGAGTCGTGACGTCTGCTGTCGTCGAGAAGCCGGATGAGCTTGACCCACATCGTGCTGCGCGAGTGCAAAAGAATGCATAAAGACGACAAAGACTGCCTCATGACATGTGCATGCTACACGCACGGCACTCTGCTCTGGAACCTCTTTCAAAACGGCGAAATTCTATTATCAGGGACTGCGGCTGAAACTTCTGCGTCTCGTAATCTGAGTGTCATTCAATGGCCCTGCTGAAGTCAGTCCGCAGGCTTCGGATGATGGTTTTAGTCAAAGGTGGTGTCACTGTTGCCTGCCGTGCATGAAAAGTGCAGAGCTGCTGCCTTCCGTTTCTGGTTTATGGCGGCCTTTGTTGTGCAAGTCTTGCGTGTTGAATCGTCAGACATTCGTCCTTGCGTCTTCGCAGCTGTCTTGCATGTGCCATTGACCGTGTCTGCTTTGACGATTCCATCCTACAACGTTCAGCGATTGAATCCATCTCTGCGCCGGCTTTGTCACGAAGAGCTTGCTGGTGCTGCACGCGAAGGCAGTAGCATCTTTTGGTACCTAGCTACTAGCTACTGTGCCCCGCTGGCAATCCCTCCTTCCCTCCTGCCTGTCGGGAATGCGGCGTTTCGATCAGGTCGAGGTTCATGTCCTGCGGGTTTTGCCGCCGTGCTCACAGAGGGTCACCGTGCTTCCATGTGACATGCAGTGCAAGAAAGGCCAGCCAACCGCAGCAGTTTGGATTTTTATTACTCAGTTCTGGTATCTCCATAACCCTTCTCGCGCTAGATTGCTTAGATTGCCTTGCTTTCAGAACTTGAAGGCGTGAGAGACGCCTTCACAAACCTATCAGTCCAGCCACATACTCCAAGCTCTCAAGTCTCTTGTAGCTGCTTGGCACTTGCATGCGGCGGACGAGAATAGAGTGGTTTGGTCAACAAGGCTGGCATCACCGCCTCCACCACGGCTGCGGGTGGTGCTTCGAGCACTGCTGCATCCAAGGACTCTTGCCGTGACGCTACCTGGCTCGGCAGGATGCCGCTGAGCTCAGATAGGTGGCAAGGTTTCCGGGCGTCTTGTCGTAAACAGGGTCGAGAACAATGAAGCAGAGATGCTTTGCAACCGAGATCGATGTTAAGTGTCGAAGGAACGAATTTCCGCCTTGTACACAGGAGCTGAAAGTCTTTGGTCATAGGCGGGGTTCTGCACTGTCAAGCTGACATGAACTTCATTGCAGTATGCTGTGCAACCAAAAAGCCTCTAAGGGATCTTGCGAGTCAAGCATGCTCTAGCTTGCTGATGGCTCGACCTTGAACCTTTCAAACTTCAAAGTCCCAAGCCCAAAGTCCTGAAGTCGCGCACCCCGAGACCCAAAGTCCTCAACTCCTGAGCCCTAAACCCTAAATACCAAAGCACAAACCCAAACCGAAACCGCAGGGAGGTGCCACGGGTGCCTTGGAGCCATACTTCGGAGGATCCACGGGCAGGCTCTCCGGTTCTGGAGGCTGCCTGACAGAGCAGCGGCTGCTCGGATTCTAATTGCAAGACCAACAAAAACTCAAAGCTCAAACTCGTCATTTTAAATGCCGGCGGCTGTAAGATTAAGCTTACTCAAGAGTCGAGGCCCAAATGTCCTTGCAGGTCATGGGCCCTTACGACCCTGAGCTTCAAGCCCCAGCCCGAAGAATACGTGATTCCTGGGCCGCTTCGGGAGACTCCTTCTGACTCATCACAGCCGAGGCTTACATGTACATTACCACTAACAGCAAGCGGAGTGGATAAATATGTACGGAACACACACACACACACACACGTACACGTATATGCGTACTTACATCCATCCATACATGCATACATACTTACATCCATACATACATACACTACAATACATTACATTGCATTACACTACACTACATCACATACATTGCAAGACAGCATGCATGCATGCATGCATAAATACATGCATGCATACATGGCTACGTACATACATACCTACATACATACATACATACACAAATACATAAACAGATGTCTATTGTACGTACGCAGAGTATAAGTATACATATAATGTTGCCTACCTATACACTTAATTATAGTTGAACTACGTGCTGCTTTACTTGTTCATGCCGTCCCTTGTTGCATGTATGCGTGTCGTAGCAACTTTACACAATTGCAATAGCAAGTGTATACGATTCGGGATTGCTGCTAACATTATCAAAACAATATACTATTACAGGAGACGGTACAATATTGCAGTATTGCTTCTAGGCGTATACATGGTGTTCCCTGGCCACACGATAACTCTCTATGATACTAGCATGTGCTGCACCATGTTGCTATCGTGTCCATACACGTGAACAAACTTGTATACACATGGGCACATCTTCCGCCTCTGCTCCTGATAGTAGATCTCCGTCTCCGCCATTGCCCTCTGCTCAGGTTTCGCCACCAGCAGAAGGGACAGCACCTGGCCGAATCGTCCTTCTGCATCACGCATAGGTAGATCAGACAGAAAAGTTGGAAGCAATAGAAAACGGTACTCCCCTATCTCGTGGCGCACGCGGGCTAAAGCTCGCTGCGACCGCACGAGTATCGCTAAGGGTCTTGTCATCGGTGATGGGGAAGGGTTGTGCGGCCGGTGATGCAAGGCGGTCGCAAGTGGAGGTGCAGCTTTTTTGTCTTGCACACGGAGCCCCCTTTTGAAGCAACACCCGCGGCATGCACCGAAGACAGGAGGGCTCCTCATTCTGAGGACCCATCCCTCCCCGTCAGGGGCCCTTAAGTACCACCATGACCTGCCTGTGTCTGATTTTCAGACACCATAGGTTGTCCTTGCGGCGAAGGAGCTTTGTCCTTCATGATCTCAAGACTTCAATTCTTTTTACAAGGCTGGCCCTCGGGAGTCCCAAAGAGCACATCTGCCCTCAGGACGTACTTCGCACCGCGGAGTACCTCGTTCTCTTCCTGCAGTGTACAGAGCTCCCCCTGAGGGTAGAGAAGCCCCAAACCGGCCGATGGCTCAAAGATGACCGGAGCTTCGTGGGGAACATGAAAGACGCTGAGGCCCCCATCGAAGCCTTCCGGCCCAGAGTTGTTGAGAAACACTCGCAGCGAGTACTTGGATATAAGACCACCTCGAGTGATGGATCTGTCGATATGTCTCGACAGATACCCTCCCTGCTCATACTTCTGTATTCTGATCACATCATTGAGCCCATAGGGAACCAAACCATCCACCGACACCGCGCGCAGCACCCATCCAAGGCCGGCGTCCCAAATCGCCTGGGCAAACTCTGGGTCCACGATGTCCACGTATTGCATGTCCTGCACATGTAATCGGAACTGCTTCTGGAAACCGAGGGGCTCTACCACATTGATGATCCGGATGCACTCCAGCAGCGACAGGAGGCCAGGTATGCCCATACAGTCCACGTTTCTGAAGTACCGGGGCTCAGGGAAGCGCTGCTCTTTCAGAAGTGAAGCGAGCTCAGAGAGCACGCACCCTTTTCTCCGCTTCTCATCAAGTTTCTCAGGTTCTTCAATGACCATGGAGACTTCTACAGCTTTGTGCTCAGGTGTCCAGTGGACAGGCACTCGAAGCACCATATCCTTGGAAGGCGGAAGCTTGCCTGGCAGGGTATCATCATGCTTAGGTGTTATAGGGGAGGCAACGCAACCGCAACTCTCAGCCTCTGCCTGAGCTAACATCACACGCTCCGGACTACAAAATCCCGCCTCCAGGCTTGGCATGCCATGCTGTCGGTATCGGCATGCAGGCAGGCGGGTCGTGAAAGCGTTCGTCTTCGACGCAGGTCACTGCTCAGGCATCAGCTTCGCACCTACCTTGAACTGCAATCCTAAGTAGAAATTAGCCACAGCAGTTACAAGTCGATATATAGGAGGACATGGGCTTCAGGCTCCTCGCTCAGCATGAAAATGGCGTCCAGCAAGTCACGAGATCGAAAGGGCCCTGCCTATCTTCTACAACTCTCCTTAGGGGTGATTCCAGCAAACTGTAGTACTTGATCGAAGAATCATCCTGTTGACGCTCTGGGTTCGGGAGCGTAGGGTTTCTCAACTCAACCCGCCCTCGGCCTCATCTTGGAAGTTCAGCCGCTGCAGCAACTCGCGCTGGTGCCGGTCCATCTTGGTCTGCACCTCCGCGAGGAACTTGCTGAAGGCCTGCGGAGGACTTCAGTGTGCCAAAAAAACAGCAGTTTATGCCCCGCGCAGAAGCCAGTAGCAGCCCGTGTGAGATCAAGATGCTTCTCCCCGCGTCCCGGTGCAACCGGATAATCTACCGACTGGCCCCTCTACTCCTGGCTTTTAGCTGGATGTTGGCTTTAATTGCCAGCTTGCCAAGTACGAAAAGGAGCGAAAGCCTCCACCTGGCTGTTGTCTTCGCCAAGTCCTTCCGCGTGCACAACACTCTTCGGCTACCATCCAACGAAGACAAAATCGAAAAAGAACCAGGAATCGAGACCATCGAAGAATCCTTCTGGCAGCTGGTTTGTCGACGCATTTTGTTGAGTCTCATAGTCTACCTATCTATCTGTCAGTCTGTGTACCTATCTATCTACACGACACCGGCGCCAAGCAATACCCGAGAAGATCTTGGGCAGTCTGCACATGGGATGTGTCATCCAATTGGCACGTGGTGTCTCAGGCTATGTTGTGGCATGTGGTGTGTGTCTTCAGATACGTGCGTAGCCTTGCAAAGGCGGCCAAGTGTTCAATGCACGGAGAGGCATTCCGAGCTGACATGGCCGTGTTCTGTAACGCTGTTGTCAACAATGAAAGATGCAACGCAACGCAGGAGCATCAGAAGTCTGCAGCAATGTGCAGCAGCGCAGCGTCCTGCAGCCTCGCCGGCTGCGCTGCTGGGAGGCCCATCCTGGCTTCGGAGCTCGAGCTCTCGCTGCCCGCGCTTTCATCCAACGCGGCCCGCCTCTGGCATCTGCCCCCCTGCGCCTGGGCTACTGCCTCAGCGCAAATGCGTGGCGGCAAGGACGCTGCCTCTCGAGGCTGCTGACTGGGACCCGCGCGTCGTGCACACGAGCACGATCCATGTATTCTCCGACATCTGTTGCATTCACAGCTGCGGAGAACATTTCGGCAAGAGGAAGGCACTACAAATGCCCTGAACTAGCAAGGCACTCCTCTTGTCACCGCGACTGCACACAAAACTAGAGTTCCTGGCCAGACAAGGCCTATACAAGCAGGCATCCCAGCCAAGTATGGTCTTTTTGCTTGAAGACAGACGAGGCATGCATCGCATTCCCACGACTTTGCCGGAGGGAGAGCGGAGGGAAGCAATCCTCGTGCTAGAGGCTGTCTCAGCAAAAGCGCGGTAGCTTGAGTTTTGACATGAAGTCCCGGCGCTCATAGCTCCACAGTTCACATCTCATGTCGTGCTTGGCTGACAACACGTGGGATCGCATGACCGATTGTTGCTCAATGCAGGCACTTGCTATTCGAAGCTGTAACAGCCATCAGTGAAGCCCAGAGGATGCGTCCTCAACAGCAAGCAGCGAAGCCACGACGCCGAAGAAACGCAAACATTGTGCACGATTGTGCTACCTGCTACTTGCCTGCAGCACACGGAGCACTTCGCAGCCCATCTATGCACCCTCTTTGGCCAAGGCCGCAGCCCCCACCAAATGCTGGGCTTCGACGGGGCTTCCGGCAACCTGCGATGAGTTTTTGCATGGTAGAGGCTGTCAAATCTGCCGCATAGTAGCTTCGCACCTTCAGCGGCATGCCACTCAAGACCTCGAGCCCAGAACAGAGCCGTATCCGGCCGCTACCAGGAGCAAGAAAACAACAAACAAACATGCGTACACAGCGGGAAACGTAACGATCAGCAATGCAACTTCAGAAATGGCCAAAACTAAAGGCAAGTCGCCGCGATCTCCGTGCGCAGGTGCCTCAAAGCCTGCACGAGCTGCCAGCACGTGTACCGGTACCGACGATTTTAAACGCCGATCATTCCATGATAAACAGATCGTAGTGGCTGTTCTTGTCATGGCCTCGTCGCGGCGCTTCAAGCCATCTGCGTGTACCCACTTCACGAACCTCAGAACGCAAGATGCAATGCTTCTTCGCTGATATCCTCATGATCTGCATCCCTTGCCGGAGAAGCAAGCCAAGCTCTGCACCCACAAGTAAATGTCACCAATGCAGTAGCGAAGGCCTGGTTGGGCGATGACACTCCCGTGGCAGCAATCACGACGCGCACCAAACGACCACATGTGTCGACTTTCGTCTGCCGGGTCCACAGCCAGCCAGCCGACAGCTTCCAGAAAGTTCTCCTGAAGTGTAAACCAGCCGTCATGGTTTGGCAGAACCACAGGCCTCAGAAACCAAGGCCCAGAACAAAATTTGGGCCCGCCGAAACCCTGAAAGAAGATTCAAAGGCCCACGCTGAGTGGATTCCCCTACGAAGACGAATGGTAGGACTTGTGTGTAGGCCGGCTGTGGGCTGCTGCTGTTCATCTCTGTTCCTCACCCGAGTGTATGACACGCCTTAGACAGGATTTGACAGCCAGGGTAGCAGTGCCAAATCGGCCCAATCAACCCCTGCAAGCACTTTCGATCCTCTGACGAAACAGGAAAAAGGAGCCTCCATCCTCCTTGCAAAGGCTTCAAGAATCACAGACTGCTTGCGAGCCTGTTGTAGCCATACGTGTCTCAACCCAGGATGCATCGTCCACGCACAATCAAGTAAGACCGAATCCACAAGCGCCGTTGCCAACCCGTCAGTGGCTCCTGAAGCTCGGCATCGTCCGAAGAACTCTTCAACATGATGAACCTGAACATGAGGCAGCCGCCGCCAAAGATCATGAGACAAAGAGCCATGACCAGGACAAACACTGGTCATTGACGGCCCCTGTTGTCGCATCCAGCTGGCGATACCTAGGCGCTTGCAGAGCCGCGCGCGGCAGCAACAGCAACGAAGCATATACTTTCTCACATGTAGTGGCTGTGAGGTATGAGGCACAAACTCGATCGCGGTGGCATTCAGCACAATTAGCTCACCATAGCCGGGCCTCCCATGTGCCGGAGAGTACAAAGACAAGGGTGGCCTTCCAAAAACGAGGTACAGTAAGGGACAGACTGGCCCGGATGTCGTTTCACTGTGAAGCGAGCTGGCATATCTTCGTACCTCACTCCGCAAGACCCGAGACTCCATCGCCTCTATCAAATCTCAGAAGGGGCCTCGATGCAAGGCCCTACTATAGGGGCCTAAATAATTACCTATATTATTTTGGGGGTTCCTTATTATAACTACAGCATAATGGGCCCCAAAGCCCTATTGAAAGTATTAAGGCCCCGCTCTTTTTCTTTTCGGCACTCTTCGAAGCCAAGCTTCTGCAAAGAAGGCTCACCAGAGTCGCCATTCACAATGTTTACCGGCCTCCGGCTCAAACTCGGGCTCTTCGTTGGGTTTCGGGCTCTCTCCTTCCTACTCCCTACTCCCTCGCTTTCTGCAGAGGTGGCAGAAGACCAGAGATATCGGACAGATCCTGGGGGAAGCGTCTTAAAGGGACAGAGTCAGAGTCCCTACTTAACCTGAGAAGAACCGAAGGCAGAAGACTTCCCTGGCTCTTTCGTCCAGGCGCCCACAAGAGGAGTCTGGTGTCTCATCGGCCTTGCCTGGGCGGAACGCACGATCGGCAGCTGTTCCGGATGGAATGGCACGGAGAGAGTTAAACAGGCACGGGATCCACCAACAGCTACATCTCAAACGCTCCACTGCCTTATCAGTCTTCTTCATCCCCTCAATCTGCGACTATCGGTGCCGCATAATAACTGGTTCATCTTGCACCGATCTGACAGGACAAGTTGTCTTCTATGTGCATTTTTATTTATGGATGCCTCTAACTTATTGCGAGTTTGTCGCATTGGACTCCGGTGGGGTCTCGAACTCGATCCTCGGAAAGTCACAGCTCCTCACTCTCACAACACCTTACCGTTCAGAAGTGCAGCGATTGCTATTGTAAGGCGGCTTGAAACTGGGGACAAGTTACCGAGGTCCCAACTGCATCACGGAAATCTAGCGAGCCGATCACCCTGACTGAGATCACAGTGCTGAGCCCAGCACACACCGAGCCATTCAACGTCCGGAAGGTTCTCTCATAGGCATGAACATGCGATGCCAGGTAAAGGTCGACCCGGTACCTACAACATGGAAACGCTTTTCTGGATCACAAGAGCACGTTTAGGAAGTGTTGCTCCATGTGTTGCAGACGGAGCCGGTTCCAACAATTTGGAGTCGCAACATCCATCCACACCTCCCCTGTGCGACATCCTACATACAACCCTTGTCTCTCTATAGTATGGAATACGTAAGCTCCTGCTCGAACTACTTCGGCCTCTAGTTAGAGTCTTGGAACAAGGACCTTGTGGGCGGTTGGTAACCTTGTGCAAATCAGGTTGCATGCTTACCCTGAGGAAGGCAACACCTTGTGAAAGCTAGAAGCACAGAACAAGGACCAAATCAAAACATAACTCCAAGCCTTGCACAGACGCATGCAATGTCATAAATACAGACATACACGTATACATGCATGCATGCATACGTACCTGTCTGCCCGCCGGCCTACCTGCGTACCTAGTTACATACTTACATGCTGACATACTTACAAAGTCAAAGACATACATATATACATAATCACAGACATACGTACGTGCCTACGTTGTAGCAACAATAGCATCAATAATAGCTCAAGTCATCAAACTAATGATAACAATCCTACTAGTAGTCTAGTAGCAATGACAGTTTTTGCAACCCTATACGATACAAAACTGCAGAACACAACTGTACTGCTTTACTCTACTTTGTTATGCTCTATTCTACGATGCTACGCCATGGTATGCTGTGCCATGCCATGCTCCACTCCACTCCGCTCTCCGCTCTATATTAGGCTATGATACTGTACGATACGATAACGACACTGCTCTATACTCTAGCGTGTGCTGCCCCTAAACCCATCCTAAACCCTAAATCGATCCCAAGCTTCGGCCTCACAAGCAGTGGCTCCAAGATGGAGCGCAAAGAGGCAGCCTTCCCAGCCAGGATCCCAGCTTCCCAGATCTTCCAAAATCCCTTAATCAAGAAATACACCTTGGAATCACATTGGGGATCCTGCTGTAAGCTACGAGGTGTACTCCTTAATTACATGACATGAAAGATCTGGGTTAGGGAGTGCTGGCTTGGGGGTTTGGCGCGTAAAGCAGGGTTTCGAGGCCGAGGAATCGGGGATTTGGACTGCTTTGAAGGATTTGTGGTTGTTTTGGCTGGATGGGTCTGCTTCATCTGAGACTTGCAGTGGATTCCCTATTATTTCGGGCAGGTTGTGCAGATTAAGGAAGGAAGGCCCTCTAAACCCTAAACCCGTTTCCATGTCCTCCTCACAACAGCTCCCAGCTCGAAGGCGTACACCCCAAAGACACAACCCGAAACAGTAACCTTATAGTAGTCAATAGTAGTCCTTATAGTAAGTAATGCTTATACTGACCACTACAGTTAACCTGTATAGTAACTACAGTATTTTATTGTACACATATCCCATCACGAAACAGCCTCCCCCTCGTGTCTCGAAGCCTTTCATGCGCCATTGGATGATCTCCCAGACATCTCCAGAATTTGGAAGCTGTCTTTGGGGTCGAATATCCTTTACTACAGTCCCTACCACGGTAGAATGGCATCATAGACCCCAAAAGCCCTGCTCTAGTTAGAAATTAGCATAGTTGTATCACCCCAACACCCCTTCTCTAATTAAGGGCCCTCAAATTAGGACACCGGCTCAAGAGCCTCGGTGCTGCAAGTGGGCCTCTCCAGAGAGCAGTAGAGCGGCCTCACGAAGCAGACGCCTAAACCCTATAGCCTGCCCTCTTGCTATAACTGGTTCCCCAGTGCCCCCTTAAAAGTAAGGGTACCACAAGTCTCAAAGATTAAGTAAGGGTACCCTTGTTCCTGGCATTCAGTTCTAATAAGGGAACCCTAACATGAAAAAGGCATAGTTACAAGGGTACTACTGGGGAACCGGGAACCTAGATAACCCTAAAACCTGTAAGCCTTAAATGCCGTTGTATTGTATGTAAGAGCAGTAGCTTGACTGTACCACGACGCCTTCGGCTGGGTCCCGCTCTGGGACTTCGAACGCCTTGAGCTTGAGAATTTGAATCCTTGTTAAGGAACTTAATTTAAGTTACTATAATAAGGATCTATAGTAAATAATTGGGTTTCCTTATCATGGTAACTTAAACCAAGGAAATGTCTGTCCGGCCTGTGACCAGCCACGATGACCCAGGGCTGATTGCCACGAGCCTTGGCACTCCGAAGCTTGCGATGCGATTTGGAGCGGACACAAGGGCAGTATCGCCGGCCTCCACGCCATCCGCCTCTTTCAGCACTTCCTCCAGCCATTGAAGCTGCTGCTTGGCCTCGGCCAAAAATAGAAAGGGTGCTTCACGACCTGCGACTTGCGAAGCCCCTCAAGACCGCGGCCAAGGACGCACGCTGCGGCCTCGAGCAGAGCGCGGAAAGAGTGGAAGAGTCGAAGAGCCAGAGCCAGCGTCCTCCGCTGCTCTTTTTGTGCTCCGAGGCCTCGGCTCCGGAGACGTAGTGCCCAAAGCGACGAGAGCATCAGTCCAGAGCCTCGCAAGCGACGCACAAGCGTCGTGTTTGCCAATGCCCGGTGGTTTCACACGGAGCGGACACGCAAGGCAGGATGCCCCAAACAGACCTACGGGCTCAAGGGCAACAGCCGCGCACAGTGGCAAAGACAGCACTAGATGTACAGATTAACTTGAACTTCAGCTGAGGTCTTGGCATTATAAATCTCGCAGGACCCACGCTGAAAGTATACCACCTCAAGGACAGACGCGCACGGACGCAAACAAGCACCAGCATGCGGAAACGCACACTGGTCCGGCACTCGCTTTATCGGCACAGAACGGCACTCCTCCGGGCACATGCGCTATGACGCGCCCCTACAGCTAGTGTTCCTTGATGCTGAGGCCCGCTGAGACCCTTTGACGACATCCGGACTGGCTGGTAGGCCTAGAAGCCCCGGTCAAGCGAGAAGACTGTGAGACTCAGGGCTGGTGCTTCTCTGCGCACAGATGCTTTCACGTTGGGCACTCCAAGGCCTTTGACAGACTCTCAGAGATCCGAGGGCTGCATTTTGGCGCTTGCGTGTTTCAGGCCTTGAGCTCTCAGGCGCTTGGGGGCTTTGTGGCGCGGCGTTCGGAGGCGCTCAGATGCTCTGAGTGAGGCGGACACCATCCACGGACACAGTGCGTCGCGCAGGAGCTTGGTGGTGAACTTCAATATGTCTTTATCATAATTCAAACGCCTGAAGCCGATGAAAGCCTCCGGCCAAGATTACATGCCAACCGGCTGTGCAAAAACAATCCAGTTTGCCATTCTCTCACATGTTGTGATCCGCCCGCTCGAGTCTATCCGTACCATTCCTTCCGGTGTTCACAGCATCGGACAGCCCAGCTTTGTACACACAGAGTGCCCTTCTACTGGGCCCGTGGCGGGTTGCTGGAGTTCGACATCTCGAAGAAACGTCTGGCAGCACAAGACAGCGTGACTCAATCGTCGTGTGGCAGCTTGCTGTTGCCAAACTTGGACGGCTCTGTGCTTTCACCTGTCCTCCTAACTTGAACGAATACGTCGTGCTGAGCCGCATATCACCTGGCGATGTCATTTGAACCTCATCAGAACAGCTTGAAACCCTGACAATGATTCTAAAGACAAACGGATCCTTATGCTCTCCCTTCTATGTTTGTATTTCACGGCTAACACCATATAACTGTTGCATAGCCTTTGACTGCATCGTACGGTATCTTGTGCAAGCTTTGATTGCAGCGGACTACTATGTCAAGCGTCGTATTCCACCTTGACATCTTGGCCCTGCAGTTTTCATCTTTACGAGAAGCTCGTTGCACTGATGCTCTGTTGAAGTGTCGATGCCGCCGGGCCGCTGATAGACTTCGAGGCGATCCCTGTCCTTAGCATAACTTGCGTCTCGCAGTAACCCCACCTCAGCGACTAGTCACCAGACAATGATAGATTTACACCAGAAGCTCTACCTGAATCCTCGAAGCGAAGATGGCATCTGAGGTGCCAACTCCCGGCAGAGGCATGAAAGGCCGGATCGCCGAAAGCGGCTGGAGCCTGAAGGCCGACCATTTTGTCTTCCCCTTGATCTTGCTGCTAATGCTGCTATTGTGACTGTGGCTACTACATCGCGGATATGACCAGGAAACAATGTGTAGGGATGTTCAGGATCTATGTTGAAAGATATCGGGATGGTGTCTCTGCCGCAGCATGCACACCTAAGAAGACGTGAATGACCTTCGATCAGGCCTGGGCATTCCCCTAGCCCAAAAAGGCGCATTGATATAGCAGTAAGCTCCGGACTTGCTCCAGAAATCGCTGGCAGCCGCACTCCCCTGCAACCACAATGACCAGCACCAAAAACAACTGACGCTGGCGAACGTGGAGGGGGGTGGGCCAGAGCTCCGTTGATTCCCGGTCCTGTTGGGAAAGATCCCAGGTCAAGTCACCCAGCTGAATCGTGGCATCCGGTGTCGAGTTTTGAATCCTCCCGCAAACGACACAGCACAAGTGTCCGTGGACCTCACGCAAGTGCACCGACACAACAAACTTACCGGAGCATTGATCAAGAGAAAGAGACTGTTGCAAGCAGCCGCTGTTGCAACAACTTTGCCCGATGGCGTGTTCATCCTTGCGAGGATCTGGTCAGTGAAACCAGCGTCTCTGAAGCCAAGGTCTCCGAGCACCGCCAACCGCAAAGGACCTGCTGCGACTTCGAACCGAACACTCAAAAGACATGAGCAGTAAATTCAAGCTGCTACACGGCGGGTAGTTGTTGCAGAGCCACAAGCCTGCAGCACTGGCAGTGGCCGGCTCCGTGGAGGACCTCCGGTCGGCGGAGGTTTTTCTTCACAGTTTGGACTGGCACCTGTTTGGGCGACATGCCTCTGAGACACAGACCCTGGTGACTGACCTGTCCAGTGGCAAGACGGCAATCGCGTCTCGATGGGTCCAAAGCCGCCCGCGCCCCCGATCCGATAAGCCAGATCCTCAGGGCGCCAGTCTGTTGGTTCTCCACTTTACGGAAGTCAGCGCACTGAAACCCTCTCCACTCCTGCTCGAGGCCCCTCAACACGGCTTGCACCCATCGTCGTCCATGCCACGGGCCGGAAATGCTCCCGGTCGTATTGAGCGACGAGCCTTCTGCCAAGTCGGCACTGCTGCGCGCATAGCTCACCTGTCTTTGTTCAGGCTTCGGGTCTGTTCGGTTTGGGAGTGTACAGGAGATACCGGCTTGATGGCACATGATGCAAACGAACAAGCATGCAAAAAGAAGTGTTGCTGGATGGCAGAACCCGATGGTTCGCTGCAGTACCCATTGAGTTGCGGATCACGCGATGGCAGCAGGCATGCACACGCACCCGTCTGCAACAAAATAAACCAGCTAATCAGCTTTAGAGGCGACGTGACATGTGAAAGTCCCACCTGGCTCAGACGGTTGAGTTCGCTGCGGTTGCCATCAGGAATGCTCCAGGAGATAGCGACGTCGCCTCGTGCGGGCACTCGATCAGAAGTCGGCAACAGAAAGGGGATGTCAAGAGCTTCTCAAGGCAAAGGACACGGAGCGCCATCCACCAGTGAGAGCCTAACGTGTCCCACATCCTGCACGGCGGCCGTGCAAGCATTCAGATTCAGGGCAGCCCTCGAGATGGGCCCTTCAGCACTGTTCGGCTGGTCCTGGGCTGCCACCACATCCACGCCAGCAAGCAACCTCCATGACGTCAAGGCTGCAGCGTGGCGGATCTTGCCTGTCAACTCATTATTGCTAATCTGAGATCGAAGTCTTGCATAGTACCGTTTACGGAACATGCCGCACTTCGCTCCACTTTGCCAGGGCCTCTGGATGTGGCCGTCCTGCGCTTTGAGACCCGTCGCTGCCATGGCATCACGGCTCATGCAGACGCATGACCCTGCAGCTTTCTGCCCCCCGAACAGCTGGCGAATTTACGCATTGAATGAATGGTGGCTGTTGTTGTTGCGGCTCGTCCTTCCGTTTGGTTCAAGCAAGCTCGCGCAAGTATATTATGCCCACTCTCCATGAGCGGAGCACTGCATCTGCCATCTGCTGCAGGCGACTCGTCAGGCTCGCACCTTTGCGGTCTCATGAATTCTGCCGCATGATCTGCGGTACGGAACTTGATCCACAACTATGCCACGGACCGACAGATTCAATACTGTGGAGCAAAAGCTCTCTGCTCTCGGAGCTGTATGCTGATCATTGCTTCTGCATGCTATATGCACAATCATCTGAGAGACTGCAGCTGAGACTTGCATGTCAGAGCGCTATTTTTGGCTTTGGAACCAGCAGCAGCGGACTATAGCGGACTTGTACCAGTTGGAGTGCTAGATGCCTGCAGATGAGGTTGACGCATGTTGATGCCGCTGCGCTCTTTGGCGCAAGCTGCAGCTGTCAGCGTCTCTCCGGGTCATGACCCAAGGCTGCTGCACGACGGGTCAGGGACGCCATCTCCGCTTCCATCTCCAGCCGTTCGTCCTCCATCTCTAGCTCCAGCTCTGCCAAGGCTGCATTGGCTGCTTGTTCACGCCGTCGCGCAGCTTTCAGCCGAGCTCGCATCTTCGCCAGCTCGTCGTTCATCTCCGCGAACTCCTCCATAGTCATGGAGCGCTGCAACGACGGAAACGATGTTGCGATGGCCTTGGATATATCCCTCAGGCAGCCGTTGAAAGTTTCGGCCCAGGGAAACCAGTCGGGAACTACCCATTCTGTAGCGCCGGACGCCCGACGCTGGGTACCGGAAGGCAGCTGCATGCTGTGCAGGTGCCCTGCGACGAAATCGATGCCATCAGGTGTGCTCGTGCTGCATGCGCTCAGCCAAAGGATGGCCGCCGCAAGGAGACCGGCTCGGGCCGCATGGCGCCTGCCGAAGTGGGATGCGCGCTGCATCGCGGAGTGGGCAGGCTGGGCAGGCACGATTGAAATGGTGGTTCCAACTGCACGAGTCAGTGCTTCCTTGTTGATTACCCTGTCATCTGCTTTCTGTTGAGATCTGTCTCACAATGTCTTAGACTCTCGAGTGAGTAGCTGCAGCACGCATCACGTCTCTACAGCGGCGCAGCATCGAAGCTGCATGCTGATCATTGCTTCTGCATGCTATATGCACAATCATCTGAGAGACTGCAGCTGAGACTTGCATGTCAGAGCGCTATTTTTGGCTTTGGAACCAGCAGCAGCGGACTATAGCGGACTTGTACCAGTTGGAGTGCTAGATGCCTGCAGATGAGGTTGACGCATGTTGATGCCGCTGCGCTCTTTGGCGCAAGCTGCAGCTGTCAGCGTCTCTCCGGGTCATGACCCAAGGCTGCTGCACGACGGGTCAGGGACGCCATCTCCGCTTCCATCTCCAGCCGTTCGTCCTCCATCTCTAGCTCCAGCTCTGCCAAGGCTGCATTGGCTGCTTGTTCACGTTGTCGCGCAGCTTTCAGCCGAGCTCGCATCTTCGCCAGCTCGTCGTTCATCTCCGCGAACTCCTCCATAGTCATGGAGCGCTGCAACGACGGAAACGATGTTGCGATGGCCTTGGATATATCCCTCAGGCAGCCGTTGAAAGTTTCGGCCCAGGGAAACCAGTCGGGAACTACCCATTCTGTAGCGCCGGACGCCCGACGCTGGGTACCGGAAGGCAGCTGCATGCTGTGCAGGTGCCCTGCGACGAAATCGATGCCATCAGGTGTGCTCGTGCTGCATGCGCTCAGCCAAAGGATGGCCGCCGCAAGGAGACCGGCTCGGGCCGCATGGCGCCTGCGGAAGTGGGATGCGCGCTGCATCGCGGAGTGGGCAGGCTGGGCAGGCACGATTGAAATGGTGGATCCAACTGAACGAGTCAATGCTTCCTTGTTGAATACCCCGTCATCTGCTTTCTGTTGAGATCTGTCTCACAATGTCTCAGACTCTCGAGTGAGTAGCTGCAGCACACATCACGTCCCTGCTGCGCATCGAAGCTGTATGCTGATCATTGCTTCTGCATGCTATATGCACAATCATCTGAGAGACTGCAGCTGAGACTTACATGTCAGAGCGCTATTTTTGGCTTTGGAACCAGCAGCAGCGGACTATAGCGGACTTGTACCAGTTGGAGTGCTAGATGCCTGCAGATGAGGTTGACGCATGTTGATGCCGCTGCGCTCTTTGGCGCAAGCTGCAGCTGTCAGCGTCTCTCCGGGTCATGACCCAAGGCTGCTGCACGACGGGTCAGGGACGCCATCTCCGCTTCCATCTCCAGCCGTTCGTCCTCCATCTCTAGCTCCAGCTCTGCCAAGGCTGCATTGGCTGCTTGTTCACGTTGTCGCGCAGCTTTCAGCCGAGCTCGCATCTTCGCTAGCTCGTCGTTCATCTCCGCGAACTCCTCCATAGTCATGGAGCGCTGCAACGACGGAAACGATGTTGCGATGGCCTTGGATATATCCCTCAGGCAGCCGTTGAAAGTTTCGGCCCAGGGAAACCAGTCGGGAACTACCCATTCTGTAGCGCCGGACGCCCGACGCTGGGTACCGGAAGGCAGCTGCATGCTGTGCAGGTGCCCTGCGACGAAATCGATGCCATCAGGTGTGCTCGTGCTGCATGCGCTCAGCCAAAGGATGGCCGCCGCAAGGAGACCGGCTCGGGCCGCATGGCGCCTGCCGAAGTGGGATGCGCGCTGCATCGCGGAGTGGGCAGGCTGGGCAGGCACGATTGAAATGGTGGATCCAACTGCACGAGTCAATGCTTCCTTGTTGATTACCCTGTCATCTGCTTTCTGTTGAGATCTGTCTCACAATGTCTCAGACTCTCGAGTGAGTAGCTGCAGCACGCATCACGTCCCTACAGTACAGCGCGCAGCATCGAAGCTGTATGTTGATCATTGCTTCTGCATGCTATATGCACAATCATCTGAGAGACTGCAGCTGAGACTTGCATGTCAGAGCGCTATTTTTGGCTTTGGAACCAGCAGCAGCGGACTATAGCGGACTTGTACCAGTTGGAGTGCTAGATGCCTGCAGATGAGGTTGACGCATGTTGATGCCGCTGCGCTCTTTGGCGCAAGCTGCAGCTGTCAGCGTCTCTCCGGGTCATGACCCAAGGCTGCTGCACGACGGGTCAGGGACGCCATCTCCGCTTCCATCTCCAGCCGTTCGTCCTCCATCTCTAGCTCCAGCTCTGCCAAGGCTGCATTGGCTGCTTGTTCACGTTGTCGCGCAGCTTTCAGCCGAGCTCGCATCTTCGCCAGCTCGTCGTTCATCTCCGCGAACTCCTCCATAGTCATGGAGCGCTGCAACGACGGAAACGATGTTGCGATGGCCTTGGATATATCCCTCAGGCAGCCGTTGAAAGTTTCGGCCCAGGGAAACCAGTCGGGAACTACCCATTCTGTAGCGCCGGACGCCCGACGCTGGGTACCGGAAGGCAGCTGCATGCTGTGCAGGTGCCCTGCGACGAAATCGATGCCATCAGGTGTGCTCGTGCTGCATGCGCTCAGCCAAAGGATGGCCGCCGCAAGGAGACCGGCTCGGGCCGCATGGCGCCTGCCGAAGTGGGATGCGCGCTGCATCGTGGAGTGGGCAGGCTGGGCAGGCACGATTGAAATGGTGGATCCAACTGAACGAGTCAATGCTTCCTTGTTGAATACCCCGTCATCTGCTTTCTGTTGAGATCTGTCTCACAATGTCCCAGACTCTCGAGTGAGTAGCTGCAGCACGCATCATATCAATACCTATGCACAGATCCGCGATGCGGGCTGCATTGCGGAGAACTACATGACTCCAGGCCTGTGGATCAGAGCTGAGCTGGGTTCTTTGTAGTTGGTCCACGGTGTGCATTACAATTCGCTGCAACAAGATCGTGCACAATCCACCCTGCTTGCTACAACCGTGGCCCAAGCGCCAGCAGTTGCTGTTCAGGACAATGGCAAGGCTAAGTCAATGCTGAGCACACGCTCGCGAACCTCGCACAATGCATGCTGAAAGCTGCCGGGGACCTGTCTTCCCTCCTGCTTCTGGTGCAGCAGCGCACTTTCCTTTTTCTTCTGCTCACTGTGAGACTTCGTCCGACACTCCGGAGACCCAGCTCCGTCAGGGCCGTCTTGCCCCGCCACGGCCCAAAGCCATCTGCAAGGCGCAGCCAGGCATCGTGTGCCACCTGGAGCAGGTAGGGGAAGGTCGTGGGCTGAGACGTCCCCCATCGCCCCGCCGTGCCCCAGTGCAGGTCAATCCAAAGCGAACAGTGCCTGCAAAGAGCCTGTTGCAGGGAGGCTTCGGCATACCATCAACCTTGCAGAGTGTAAGAAAAGAACACACAAGAAAAGAGCACGGAAGTCAGGAAACAGGACGTGCCATATACCCCATGCACCTTGCAAGAAGCGGCGAGTAGGCCTGCTTAGTGGCTAAGACCGCTGCTGCACCTGCCTGGCTCAGGGGCCAAGTGCTGCTGCGCAGTACCAACATACAAAGCGAGACTGCAAAAGAGCAAGCACAGTACTGTCATTCTCCTTCCTACTTGAAGAAGTGCAACCACGACAGAGCATTAGTCTACCATTAACACTGGTAAGTGCCATGTACATGTCGCAAGACTCATATTTTATAAATTGACTCATAGTCTAGTGACTCGTGACTCTCGTGATTTCGTCGCGCATATTCTGTAACTTCACGCAGGTGACATGACATGTCAATGTAGCGTGGCTTGGCCCCGGTACCCGCGGCGGCTAAGTAGTCGCGGCAACATTGCTGTGAAATGCTCTCCCCACGCTCACCTGGAATTCTTCGCTGCTGGCGATGGCTGCCACCTGCCCAACACAAGCGGTTCGGCGGAGATTCCTGCTGGTTAGTTCTTGACTGCCCGAGGCATCGGCAGAGCACACTCGCTCCGAAGCTAGCATTGCCCGCGGCACCTGCACCAAAGGGAGAACAGCCGTGCAAGCCCCCACCTCTCCAGGAGGTGTGGCGCGGCATCTCGTGGCCTCCGAAGCTGCGGCACTCCTCCCTCAGTCGCTCAGGGTCAGAGAGAGTGGAGACCATGAGACGCCATAGGGCCCAAGCCGGGGAGGCCAGCTGGCCAGAGCGCGTCGTTGAGCAGGAAGCTCCAGAGCTGTTGGGCCAGCAGCCTCCAAAGTGGAACAACTCCCGAAACAGCTTCATAGTCTCTTGGAATCTCGATCCTTTAACAGCCTCTCCCTGCCTCCGGGTGGCAGCAGCCGGGTGTGGGCCTGCACTTCGCTCCGAGGCCACGGCAGCAGCCTCGGGATACCCGCTGCCCTTCAGGGCATGGTGTTTTGCATCCTGTCGTTGACTACAACTACAGGGCTGGGCGCGTCTGCGGTCAGGCGTGGGCTTGAAGCATCGGTTCTGCGAGGGCGAAGTCTCTGCCCCTGGCCATGCCACCCAGCAAGCCCACGCCGCCGTGGAAGGCCAGGGCTCTCTGCCATTGACCTCACGATGCCCAGAGGCCGAGGCGCCGAAACGACGGAAATGATGCTGTTTTTTGCAACAGAAAAGCCCCCGGCGAGCTCTTTGGCATCCGTCCAGGACCGCACCCAACGAGGCTTCATTGGCACGCAGCCTGCTCCCGGCAACGGTTGGGCTTGGCTTGGCTGTAGCATCCAAGTCCAGCGCGACATAACCTGTCCTACTACATTGTCCCCTTCAGCCCACCCTCTCGCAGCCAGCTCCGTCAGCAGGTGCAGGGCCAGCTCCCACTGGCCGCAGCCACCCAAAGCCCCGATTGCGGCACAGAACGCCTCAGTCGTTGTAGAATAGTTTCCAGAGAGCATCAGAGAGCTGTGAGCACGGAAACCCGATGGAGCAGATGCCTGCAAGGACGCGGGCGGAAGGGGAATTCCATCTCGGAAGCTGGATGGTGATGCAATGCCAGAAGCATCTTAATATCATTCAACACATCCCTGCGGTGTCATGCTCCCAGACCTTTGCAATAAGAATCGGACTTAAAATCCCAAGTTAAACTTAAGAACGATGACAGTACTACCCGTCACAATAGCAAGAGCAACACTTGAACTGCACTTCCT